TCTCTAAATAAAATACAAAATAAGGTTGGGGATGTGGCTCAGTGGTTGGGTGCCTCTGAGTTCAGTCCTCCAAAAACCTCCCCCCCAAAAAAGTTAATGGGAACTTAAAAGTTTAATGAATTAATACAATGCAACATTTTTAATAGAAAGAGTGGAGAGTATATTAACTTCATATGTAGTAAAACAGGTGTGAAACATGCCATGAGCCAGTTGGTATATTTCTAAGAAGAAAACAAAACAAAACAACAAAACACCTTAAATTCACTTGTTCATTCTTCCATTATGAAGGCTGCAAGTCTTCACCAGTGTGAAGTCTTTAAATGTTTTTTTTTGTCTTTGCATAGATTTCAAAACAGAAATGTCAGTGACAATAATAATAAAAACACAGTCATAAATCATTTTTCAAAATTTCAAAAAAATCTGACCTAAAATAGGAATATTCCATCTCTTTTAAAAAGAAAAATCTCTTTAATGTCAAGAGGCCATGCTGCCAGATACTGGAAAATGTAAAATATAACTGCAAGAAAAATCTAGGAAAATTCAGTAGCTCTGGAAAGAATTGTTTGGGATTTTAAAATATAGTACAATAAAAATATTTACCACACTGCATTGGTTTTCTATCACCACTATGACAAATTGCCACAAACTTAGTGCCTTCATACAGTGTGAATTTGTTATCTTGTAGTATGCAGTTCAGAATCCAAAATGGGTTTCACTGGATTCAAATCCAGTGTGGGCATGGCTGCTTTCCATTTGCAGACTCCAGGGAAAATTCCCTCTCCTTCCACTTTCCAGCTTTCTAGGGACCCATCACTCTCCTGGGCTCGTGCCCCTGCTTGCATCTCACACAAGAAATTCTGACCTTTTCTTCTGATAGTAAGAAAGTACTGTAAATTTTAACACAGTATGAAGGACTTCCCAATCTCCTCTCCACCTTTGGTCTTGATACAACCAGGGATCCACATCTGACAAACACCCATGAGGGACCTTCATTTCTGAGGCACAGTCCGTGGTTCCCTATTTCCTGTAGGACTGCATCTTGTTCCCTGATGGGGCCCTGACAGCATCTTCCTGCAAGGCCCTTCAGAGTGGGTCCGAGCCTACCTGTCCAGCCACACCTCCTCCACCTGAGTTGAGGTGAAGTCCAGGCCAGGTTTATTCTCTCTCACAGCAATTTCTTCTCACCTCCTTCTTCCTGCTGTGCCTTCCTATTCTTTGCCTCTAGGTCAGTCTAATTAATGAAGAAATGCTGGTAAGGAATCCCACCATTGCCCAGTCATCTCTGTTCAACACAGGTTAAATAGATACTTTCAAGTTTACGAAATGAAATCTGTAAAATAGTGACACTCCCTAGGCTCCTCAATCTCGAAAAACTTTCTACATGTGGTATGCACTGTTATTTTAATTTCTTTGTTTTTATGTATGCTTTAACATCATTGTGCATTGCTGTTCTATTATGTTCGTCCCGTAGAGAGCAGTAATGTCTTCTGTGTCTGTCTCCACAATGTTCCTCAAAATTCCTCAAATGGCTTTTCTAATGAATTTGTCTTTATAATTTGGTGGCTAACCCAGGGTCATGGAAGATCACTTTTATCATTCATTTTAGAAAAATAAATTCATCCAAATGAAATAATTGGCATTATAGCTTCATGTGAAAGTTCATATTCCCTAAATTGAACCTTTTCTCATTTCTTATTCCTATAGTTTTATTCAATTATCATCGTTCCTACTGAAAAATGCAATAATGTCATTATTTCTCAAGAAATTGCCATTGAAGGGGAGCTGCCATTATGAGTAAGTCCCTACAAAGGCACCAAACTAATGAAATAAAGCTCCACCAAATAGTCATTGCTGGCAAACTGTACCTGACATCAGCTAAGTCCTCATTCCAGGCGCTCTTACAGGAAAATCTGGGAGACTAAAGGAGTCAAAACATCAGATGCACCCAATCAGAAATAATTTGTTCTAGGACAAAAATTGAAGTCTGTCGTCATACAGGGTAATTTGAAATGGTTTTATTAACTTCCCAAAGGAGCCTAAAGCAGCTCATTATGTTATAATTCCTTGGTCTTTACTTTGTAGATACTGCAAACATTAAATAAATCTATATTGTTTTCTCCGTAGGAAAACCTGATACCTGCCACATGGATTTTGAATACATGTCAACATTAAGACAAGTTATTTCTTAAATAATGTTTATGTTATTTGTTGAGCAGTCTACAAACCAATATGAACCATATCTTCATGATCTCAATAAATAAATTCAATCATTCTAGAATGAACTTATAAAGTAAAATTAATTTTTCCATGTTTTTTATCATGTTTCTATTTTGTCTTCAGTACCGTTAGTTGCTACATATGGACAAAATTATAATAATACTTACTAACAATGTCACCATGTAATGTGACCCAATTCACCATAATGAGATGTTCCCAGAGACAGTGACAATACTCCATTGAACAAAGTATCAGAAGGACACAATTTAATGCTTCAATTGAGTTTTAATGTTCCTTTCCAGTAAAAATAGTGGCCATTTTATTCCTTTATGTTCTTCGGTAACTATGTAGAGTTAAAAATTACCTGGTTTACGTCAAAAGAGAAATTAACACGTGGTAAGTGTCAAGTATAAAATCAGAAATACTCTGTTCTCACTACTTGTAGTTGATCCTATCTCTGAAAATCGCAACTGATCTCATGATCTCATTACGCATCAGTCATGAGTCAAGCTATTTGCTTAAGCCAATGCCTTTGTCTTTCTTCAGCAGGACAGAATCAGAATAATCCTGGGTTAACAGCAAAACCTGCAGACAATTATCCCTTTATTCTCTCCACTGATAGTGTAAACTGTTAAAATGCAGTTTTTCAATAGTGATAAATACAACCTGGACAATGTTATATCCAACAGGTAGAAACAAACAAATGCATGAAACTCAGCACTGCCTCCTACTAACATTTTTCCCCTAGACTCAAGAAAATTTAATACATCTTAGTAGTTCAGATATAATTATCTCTTGCTCCATCTTTTGATGCATGCACAAGTCATAGAAGGTGTCAAAGTTGCTGCAACCTCTGCTTATTGGATTTCTTCCATTTTATTGCCTGTAGTTAAATATGACTGGAGTGTCCTTGTGCCTAATTGCTCTGTATTTTAAGTTTCTAGGGGTATTCAACTACTAAATCAGTTCTGAATCACACTTTTCAAAAGTCTTAGAGGGGAGAATTTTGAGTGGCCCTTTCTCACATAAATTAAGCAACATCTTGCACATGTCACCCAGCTCTACAAGTTCATACATAAATATTATATTAACCTTCTTAAAATTGGCAATACATAAACTATGTGACTGTAGTTCCATATCACCACTTGAGTTGCAAAGTATTTTTAAAAATAAAATCCTGAAAGAATTCATAGAGTTAAGTAACAGATGAGTTTCAAGTCACATCTCCATGATCTTTTCATCTTTAAAGTAGTCACAGGACTTACAAATAAATAATACATCAGCTGCAGACTGGTCCAATCATCTACTTCCAGGTCCACAATCACACAATTGAATTTATTGTTCTGTGATTTGAAAAAGCAAAAGACGACAGAGGTCCATGGGATGCCAGCATCCATTTGTGGCCCTGGCCTTGGAGACCTGCCACAATCTATCAGGATCATTGTCACTTTGCCCAACAATTTGCTCCTCAAATTACCACTAAAAATACACTGTGGAAGCAGGTGAGTGTTTGTAAGTTCACTTTATGAGTTTTGAAATGTGGTAAGCCAAACAGAGAAAAAAATTCTCAAGTAAGAAAATACTGTATTTGGCATAATAAAAGCACATTTACTTGGGAGGGGAAAATCAAATTTAAAAAAAAAATTTAGCTGGTGTTTTTGCTCTCATTCACTTGGCTAAATAATTTTGATGGCTATAATAATCACAATATATGAAGCATTTATTATATGCTAGGTTTTTATACTCTATTATTATTAATTGAATCTTCACCACAGGAGAGGAAATTACTATTTTAAAAAACAAATTCAAAGCTTAGAAAGTTTAAATTAGTCCCAGCCAATTATTGGCAGAACTGGGAGTGGAATTCAATTTGAATTACAAAGGTGACTGTATTAGTCTGCTAGAGGTGCTACAACAAAACACAATACAATAAAACAAAACACAACTGGTTGCTTAAACAACAGGAATTTATTCTCTCACAGTTCTAAAGTTTGAAAATAAGATCAAGGTGCTGGTAGGACTGTTTTTTCCTGGAGCCTGTTTCCTTGGCTTGTAGATGATAGACACCTCTTCACTAGAACCTGGGTCTTTCTTCTCTGTTGGCATAGAGAGACCTCTGGTGTTTCTTCCTCTTATAAGGATGCCAGTCACTTTACATGAAGATGGTCTCACCTTTATGATAATTTTCCTGTAATTGCCTCTTCAAAGGCCATAACTCCAAATATGTTCACCTTGGGGGATAGGGCTCCAACATATAAATTTTGGGGAAAATTCTGCTCCTAACAGTGATGTCGTTTCCTGGGAACTTCAGCCATCAGCTATAGATCATGGCCTCTATCATCCTCGAAGACAACATCTGAATGCAGAATGCTTGCCAACAAAGAGAATTTCAATATGTTCCAACGATTCCCCACCATAGTCTTGGGTAATAGAAGGGTTTCCACTGCAGCAGGAGGTAAGAGATTTTATTTCTACTGCTTACCATAACTGCCTAAAACATAATAAACATTCATTTTTTATTTGACTTTTATCATTATGATTGACTATCATAACATTTTCATCATAAGCC